CCTGTCATTCAGACTTGCACCGATTGTACTCAGTGCAGTTTGGGGGGGAACCAAAAAGCCCATTTAAATTGATGCATTTGGTACCAGATCCCTTAGAGATTCTTTTTTAAAGAACCACAACAATCCACATCTCCAATAGTGTAAGTAAGCTATCAGATCGATTCAGATCACACAGCTACCATTCAGGAAATGGAGGCATTTTGATCTTAAATGGTGGCAAATGGGAACTTCACACCAGATTTAAATGCCACAGAGAGATTCACTGTCTTAAAATGCAGTAGAAATGGTGAATTGATTTTGGATTGATTCACAGATGCAAATCTTTCCATTTTGAGTGTGACTGGCCTCTAAGTTTTCTCTTACCACTAGCCAGTGGTCATTCTATTTTCCTTATATTTTAATACATCAGCAAATGAATAAAAATACTTTCTTGGGTGTAATGGCCCTTCCTTAGAATAAAAAACACTACTTCACAGAGGGAAAGCCTCTATTTGAAGGCATCCTCAGTTTAAAAGGTTGTTTAGTACAAGAGAAAAGAGCAGAGACCTATAAGTTGCCCATTAACAGCACCTGGGACAGCAGGCACCATGGGCCATAGTTTTCTCCACTATAGTGAATTGCATTATATTTCTCTGCTAGACAATATTTATAAATATTTGCTACATTCTAGAGTTTAGAAACCCTTTGGCTGCCAGTTAGCCACCTCTAAGGATTTGATCATACAAGGGTCTTCTCCCACTAAAAAAAGCATTGTCAGGATTGCTCTCCTTCCTTTCACACCTTAGGAACCATTCCAGGATTGCAACCTTCACTTGCACTAAAAGTGTATAACACAGAGAATTTGGGATTGCTTGCCCAGTACCTCTTATTCCTGCCCCTTTTCTTAATTTGGCTATGTTTCCTTGAAGGTCACTCTTACTTCCCCCTTCCCTGGCTAGAATTTTAGCTCCTTTTTAAATGTAAGCCATGGAAAGTGAAACATAGAAGTATAAATGAAAATAGTCTTATGTTTAAAAAGGCATTTATCACAAGTACAGAAGCCTCCCATCCTTTTCTCTTGTGGGGATGGGAGCTTCCTAATTCAGGATTGATCAGACTAATCTGCCAGTGATTAATCAAGTCTAAGCAATAAGACCAGGCAGAAGGCAAGGTCAATGAAATAAATGCTTTCTAAAAATATATTTCTGGGCCTCTGTGCATGTGTGTTGTGTGTATGGGGGGGGGGATAAAAAAGCAACTCCAGAACTGGATTACTCTGGCTGCAAAAGGAAGTGAGGTGGGGGAACAATGAGCAAAATTTTGGCTTCTCTGACATGTCCCAGTTAGGGGATTCAAATGGGTTCTAATCCAACACTCCAGCTGCTACAAGACAGTGGCTCCTCAGTGACTTTATCCTCAGAGTCTTAACTGTCTCATAGTTACTAAACATATCATAAACAAATAAACACATAAATAATACAAGAAAGAGTTAAACACACATTTCAGGATAGATATGATCAAATCCAAAATCAAAACTTTGGGAAGGCATTCCTTTCTAAGTAAACGTATACTTATATTTTTAAGACATCAATGTCAAACTTTTTGGTGTGTAAACCTTAGATAGTACTTTCTGCTCACCAACTGATAACAAAAATATGCTTTTGTATTATTCAGAGATGCCAGTGATGAAGTTTAATGGCCTAGCATTCTTTTCCCTGGATTCCATCTAGGTCTTCTTGCCAATTAGCTTTGGTGTCAGTTGTCTACAGTTGTGAACCTGCTTTTCCTTTTTGTGCCTTTTTTTTCAACACAGCGTGTTCCATGCCAAGACAAAGGCAGGATATAAATTAAATAAATGAATTAATTTGGTTGGTATTTCTTCCTCCTCCACCCTGCCCATATTGCTAATTATGCATCATCAAGCATTTTTGGTTCCTCTTCACTTGACATTTCATAGTGAAACATACCATTTCAAGGAAGATGTCACACATTTGAAACTAACTGAA